GACCTTTCACAGGGCACCAGCTCTGAAACCAGACTATCTGGAACCTGGAGAGCCTGCTGTGATACTTTCACAGGCTCACGAGGTTTTTCAATAACATAGCTTGAGTTCCAATCAAATATTTCATAATACGGTGACGCGGAAATAAAAGTCAGCCTTGGTCTTCAGAGGATTTACAAGCCAATAAAAACAATGTGATATTGTACGTAAAGTTGGGTAATCAAACGAGAGGTGGACTGACTCTCATTGTTCAGGAAGAGCCTCCAGACCTGGCAAGATTTAGGAAGATCATAACTGAATACAATTACTTGCTTGGTGTCCCTGGGCTTCCCATGCCCTATAATCAGTCTCTATTTCATTCTATACCCTTTCCCTCCCCGTTAAAAAAGACAGCAGCATGGCCGGGCAATGAACTGCAATCTAGGGGCAGGGGGCTGAATAACCGGAAAGAACCTGAGGGTTGGAGTCCAAAGGTCAAAGTTCAGATTCCAATGTCTTACAATTGACTGTTGATTACTGCATGTCCTTCTCTCAAACCCAGTCCCTGAATCTAGAAAATCGTGCTAGTCCTTGATGGGTAATATGAGCCTGATTTTGGGGGGGGGGGGGGGGGGGGGAGTGGGGGAGTGAGCAGGATTTCCTAGGTTGTAATTTTTACAGGAGCACACTATGAGGTCTTCCTATCATGCAGGGATTAAGTAGGTTTGAACCACCAACCTCTGAGTTCTCAGCCAAGAGCTGAATCCTTGTGCCACCAGAGCTCCTAAAAAAAATAGTGGTAACAATGTTTGCCTCAAAGAGATAAAAACGGACTAGCATGTTGCCTAACCCTAGTATTCAGGAAACAGGAAATAAAAAGGAGTATTACAATGAAAGACAGGAAATGGAAATGTTACAACGAAAATGTGTTTTTCCTCAAAACTGCCTTTCCTTTTCATTTAATCGTTTTCCTTAAGTTGTCAAATAACTCTCTTCCCATTCACAACATGCCACGATGTATCTATCTGGGGAGACCGAGGTTTCAGTGGCTCTTCCTTGCTGCTTTTAGGCCCTATCTTGGTTCTCACAATGGTCAACCCAGGTCTTGTGATTTGGGTATCTCAGCAGCTCCTAGTGAATCATTAAGTACATCAAAGGTTTGGTGTTCCATATCCAAGAGCCCCACCCCCACCCCCATTGAATCATCCATTACTAAGCCTCTCTCCCAAGGCCTTGAGAACTGCCTTGCTAAGAAAGGGCAATAAAGCAAAACAAAAGCCACACCACACTCTCAGCTCTACCATTATCTTGTCTCTGAAATAATGGCAGCAGGATCCTGGCAATGAGCCCAGCACCCGCCCTCCACCTGTCTCCTCATAGGGCGAACTTAGTGGGGCTTCCCGCGTGATGGAAAGAGCTAGAAAGTACAGCACCTCCAGAAAAACGTCAAAGCAATTGTATGCAGAGTAAATAAATTCAGAAGTCAGCAGCACACGATGCCTCCAGTTTTTACTACACACAGAGTGGGATGCTCAGATCTGCAGCTCCTCCTCGTGTTCTGGGCCCACCCAAGTGTGTGGTAATTCAATTACATCCACTGCTTTCTTTAGGACACAGCTACAAAAGTGTATTCAAATATTACATAAGAAACCAGGACACTTGTCAAAAAATGCATGTTGCAAAAATATACCCTTCTACTGCTCAGGAATCCCTGGTGGCACAAATGGTTCAATGCTGAACAGTCAAAAGGTTGACTGTTCAAACCCATCCAGAAGCTCGACATGTGCATAACGGTGTGGATATATATGAAGACTACCCTCCTCACAGATTTGTTCCACCCGTTTTATCAAGAACATCCCAGCTAGCTAGATGAAAGGCTCAAGCCAGACATTCCTCCTTTCTTTAGGGAATTCCTTTTATTTGAGCTACAAAGTAATTCCTAACTGGAACTACTCTCTCTTCAGGAGAAAGATAAGGTTTTTTTACTTCCAGAACAATGTAGAGCCTCAGAAACCCACAGGGGCAGTTCTTCTGTTGCGTCTGACAGAGTCGCTAGACGTCAGGAATGATTCAATAGCAATGAGTTGGCTTCAGGATGTCCTTCGGTCTCTTGCTATGGAACCGCCCTAGTTCAGACGACCAGCGCTGGGGGCTGGCTTCAGGGACGGGAGAGGATAGAAGCAGCTGTGGAGCAGAGAACTGCAGTGTCCGTGGCAAGTGGACTTGGACACCACACAAGGAGCTAACGTGAAGGCAGGGGACGAGAAAGTCGCCCAGGGTACAGGACAGGTGTAGGGAAGGGGCAAGGAGCCCCGGAGGTGAGGAAGCTCCTTTGCGGATCTGTGTGTCCTTCTGAGTGTGCCTTTTCATTCCTTCCTTACGATCTCAACCATACAGCTGGCTGACAGATGAAGTGAATGGTGACACATTGATCCAGTAGAAGACATAAACAATGAGGGACTAATTGCATTCAGATAGATCTACTAAGTCCAGAATCATATCAAATGTTATCACAATGTATTCCTTTTCGAATGAACCCATCTCTGTGTTTCAGAAGAGAGCATACTGCTCAGTTTAGAGTTCCAGTCACTGTCAGGGCTGGCATCCTCCTCCGGCAGGAGGCAAGACTCCGTACCATCTCCTCCCACAGTCTTGGAGGAAGTCTCAGACCTCACACAGGGTCCACTGACCCTGCGCATTCATTCAAACAGCTCTAGCTGTCCATTACTGTCCTAAATCCTATTCAGGGAAGAAAACTCTTTGAGGAAATAATAAAGGCCTCTGAATTACAGCAGTGTTTAACCAACAAAAGCAAGTGCCTATGGCCCAAATAGGCCTCCTTTTTCTTTCTAAATAAGTTTTTCTTTTAAGTTTTCATCAGACATACAGTTCTGTCAGTTGCCATGGTATTAATTTCATTTATAACAGTTTAGAGAACACGTTAAGGAAAATGAGCTTAAAACATTAAATTACTTTTCATGAGACATATGCTTTTGATGTAATTAACAATACATTCAGCATCAATAAGCTCTAATTTTAGATACAGTCATCCATAAACATTAATCAGTGCTAAATTCGATTTCCAGTTGGCTTCTACTTTTCATGCTCAACTCTCCATGGCTATACTACAAGGTATCTCAAAACTATTAATTTACTTATTATGAGAACTGGTTACATTCCTGGGGGTGGGGATGCCCAGTAAGGAGTGAGTACACATAGAGGCAAATTAAATTTTGATGGAAAAACAATTTTCTCATAGAAGCCAGCAATTCTGCTCAAGGACCCGATCCCAAACCTTACACAGAAATGGCCATGTAATGCCTTATGTAATCAAATTGCAAATAATATTTCAGGATAGGTTGAAGCTTCCCAAATTGAATTCTTTGAAGAAGACATACATCTAAAATAATTGTGCCTCTAGGGAACTCAGAGAGCAGGGACAACGTTCTTTTCTAGCGAATCACTGTAAGATAGGGCTATCCTTCACTGTGGACAACTGTCCCCGGTGCTATTGGCTTGACCAGTCGCCCTCACTAGGCATGGTGGCGGCTGCAAAACATGCACTCACACATTTGCAAATGCCTCCTCCACTTCTCGGGCAATACTGCCCCCACTGACTAAGTGAGAATCATCCAGTCTCTCAGGTTTTGCAGAAAAACAAAAATTGGCCCAAATAGAAGGAATGGTCACAGGAATCAAAACTAAGAACAATCATATTGATGTGAATGAGTGGGGGCAGAGTGGAGACCCAAAGCCCATCTGTAGACAATTAGATATCCCCTCAAATAAGGGTCACACGGAAGGGATGAGCCAGCCAGGGTGCAGTACAGCACCAATGAAACATACACCATTCCTCTACTTCTTTAATGCTCCCCACCCCACACACACTATCATGACCCCAGTTCTACCTTACAAATCTGGCTAGACCAGAGCATGTACATTGGTATAGATAAGAGCTCTCGACACACAGAATCCAGGACAGATAAACCCCTCAGGAACAATAATGAGAGTAGTGATGCCATGAGGGTAGGGGGAAGGTGGGGGGGAGAAAGGAAGAACTGATCGCAATGATCGACCTATAACACCCCTCCCAGCCACCCCCCCACACTCAGGGTGATGAACAACAGAAACAGGAGTGAAGGGAGACAGCAGATGGTGCAAGATGCGAAAATAATAATTTATAATTTATCAAGGGTTTATGAGAATTGGAGGGTGGGGGAAGGAGGGAAAAAATGAGGAGCTGATACTAAGGGCTCAAGTAGAAAGAAAATGTTTTGAAAAGGACGATGGCAACATATGTACAAATGTACTTGACACAGTGGACGTACGTATTGTTGTAAGAGCTGATACTAAGGGCTCAAGTAGAAAGAAAATGTTTTGAAAAGGACGATGGCAACATATGTACAAATGTACTTGATACAGTGGACGTACGTATTGTTGTAAGAGCTGTAAGAGCCCCCCCCCCAAATAAAAAAAGAGATAAAGAGAGCGATTGACACAACAGCGGCAACAAGGGTCTAAAAGATCGCAGTGGCTATGAGGACGGCACAGGACTGCGCAGAATCGGCTGTACCGCAGCTAACAACAGCAGTGTGTTCCACGAGGTGGGGGAACCGCTCTGAGCATTCTACCTCTCTTTGTAAATTTGAGACTAAGTCTACTGAAACTCCATTAGAGTTGAAGGATGGCAAGTGTCTGGTAGATAGCAGTTCATTTGCGTCCCTTGTCTTTTAAGAGTTTGTATCAGAATTCACTACAAACTAGATAATATTTTTGTAATATCATGTTTTTTGAAAATATCATCATATGGAAAAATAACGTGAATGATAAAAATCTCTATTTTAGTCCTTCGGATTTAGTTCCTTGTTGTACTAAGTAATAAAGGCGAAACATCTGAGACCATTTTTGAAGACAATAGTCTTGATATCTAAATTTGCATGCAGAGGAGTCCCTCCATATTTAGATATCTGAGAATAAATCTCGGTAGAGAACGTCTACGATCTAACAGAGACGTAGGAGCTTACCCGGATGTAGGCGTCTTGATGGTGCTTGGCAAAGTAGAGCATGTTGTCCAGGGCTAACATTCCAGGAGGAGTCTGGGTAAAGTCCATCGCTGGGTTGACATGGTTCTGTAATGAGAACAAAATGTTCAATAGTGTTCCTTCTCTGACAGGTTCCACCAATCCCTCTGGCCTGGTGTCCTTCCGTATGATGGGATCACAAGACAAGTTCTGAATAATCAAGTAAGGAGGACATTTTCTCTACCCATGTAAACCTGCAGGGTGGAGGCGTCTACAGTTTTATAGGCTCAGTGGGGCACGGTTGTGTATCGTTCTCATGCCCATAGGGTTTGCTATGAGTGTGAACTGACTCACTGGCACCTAGCAACAATATAGGTTCTGCAAAGCATGCATTATACCTTTGGTAAGAAAGTTAATTGAAGATGAAAATATAGGATAAACCTAACACTCTGGAGGATAATAACAACATCACAAAAAATTGCCTTTCTGGTGGCTGCGCTGTAGTGGAGGTGGTATGGGGGTTAAAGTGTTTGGCTGTTCACTGCAAGGTTTGTGGTTCAAACCCATCGGTCACTCCACAGGATTAAAACGTGACAATGATGCTTGAAGAGTATAGCCTTAGAAACTCTATGGGGCATGTCAAGTGTGTCCTATTGGGATACTACAAGGCAGAACTGACACGCTAGCAATGCAACACACACGTACCCAGTTTGTTGGGTTGTTGTAGACTGGTGCTATTTGGGACAAAGCTCACCTTTACTACTTAAAGTAGGGGGTGGCTCTGGGTAAGGCATTTGCCTGTCTGTACCTTCACCTCTTCATCCTCAGTTTTTAGGGTGAACTGGGGCCAAACCTGTCAATAGGCTTTGCAAATCACGAAAGGATGAAGTTGATCAGCCTTTCGGGCTTGATAAAATTCAGATGGCCCCTTTGTTCCTGGCACCTGGCTCTTCTCAAGGAGTTTGTCTGACCTTCTGGTCCCCACACAAAGTGCCAAGACCATGAAGACATGACAGTACTGACAAGGACAATGGACTCTCATTCTTCTCAGGACTTATGCTATTTTATGAAGTTGCTGCCACACCGAATCTGTGTGAATAGTGGACTGCTGTTCCTGCAATCATTTGGTCACAATATTTTCATCAATGGATTGAGACAAAATGGGTGTAGGTGTGCTTTTCTTAAAGATACGGGATCCTTCATTAGCGTTGACATCATGGCCAACAGCTCTACAACTCATGCTGTAATAAAGCTTATCTTATCAAACACACATATTTTCTCTGTACAGCACATCATCACCTTCACACACATGGAAACGCTACACAACCCTTCAGCATTGTGACGTGGAGGGCATTTAAACAGTGAACCCATGAATAAAACGTATACACAAAAGGACAAAACAAAACCATGGCAGGAGTAGACCACAAAAAGGCCATTTCTCTAGAGTACAAGAGCTGGAATAAGCAGATAGAGCGCGGCATTCTTCAACCTTAGCTGGGAATTTGCACATAGGGCAATTGAAGCCTTTCGCCCTTGTGTGCATGTCCACAAATGATTGTGTACATATGGATGAGTATTGATTTGGGGCTTGCAAATACAATTCCATGAATAATCACTATCGACTGTATGCCGGGAAGGTGTCCATGCCTGGCTGACCAAGACAGCTGTATCAAAACCCCGAGCCTTCCATTTCAGACAAGCAAGCATTCCTAAGAAGAGCTCCAAATATCACCCAGAAAATTCAACTACCTTGTGAAGGATTTAAGTGACAGAATGTTGCATCCCATTTTTAGAAGATGAGAGATGTTTTAAAAAATGACTTTCTAAAAAGCTGCATGATTGAGTAATTTGTAAGAAACGAATTGTTTTTACTCAGAATACTTCTTAATACTCTTTTCACAGAAAGCGCACGTGCACGCAAATAATGTTCACCCATGTCATGGGCAGAAATAGTGAAACTACTTTTTTAAAGTTCTGGTACAGTGTGCCCGTGCATACACCATCCAGGTCTTGTGACACTTCCAGAAGTGAACATTGGCTTTATCCCCCTCATTCCATTGGCTGAAAACATTACTTTGATCATGATTGTATAATAAAAAAATAAGCTATGGCCAAGAAGTACAGGGTCAGTTTGATTACACCCAAGAAACCAGTAAACAAACGACTGGCACTAGGTGTTTGCTCTGAGGCAGTGGGCTGTGCAGGGAGCTGCTAACCTCGTGGTCAGTGGTTCTAACCCACCAACCTCTTCGCAGATGAAAGATGAGGCGATCTAATCCCAGAAAGCTGAGGAGCACACTTCCATGTCAACAGGTCCCAAGACAAAGACAGGATTAAATCCATTGGACAGAAAAACAAAATTGAAATCATCAAGATGTAGAAATCATTAGCACAACGCATTTATGAAATAACTCCTGAGAGGTTGTGTCATGGTAGCTAACACCCATGTTATTTGCATAAAATACAGAAAATTTCTGGGGCCTCTACCTTGCCAAGGAAATCTTGGTTTATTGGAATTCTTTGTAATTCAAGTTCATGAAGTCTTTCTTGTTCACTTGTTCAAAGGTCAAACAACCCACATTTTTCTGTATTACTCAAGGCATAGCTAAGCTGTCTTTCCCAGGTTGACCTGATATTTTATATATCCATTAATGAACAACATCTAGAATTACAACAAAGCGGTGCGGTGTCCTGGCCAGTGTCCTGGATAAAGAGCACCCTCGCCGTTATCTATAGTTATCTATAAGACACGTTGGGTCTATGCAGAGCTGAAGTTTTATTTTAGCATTTTCTCCTCGTTCATGTATTCAAATGCTGGAAGATTATATATATATATATATTTTTTTTTTTTTTAAATACCAAACAGACTATACTAACTATAACAAACAACTCATTGTCATAGAACGGATTTCAATTCAAAGCAACCCGATTAGTAAGGAGTAGAACTGCCCCATAGGACTTCTGAGCCCCATGGGAAATCTTTATAAGAGTAGACCTCATGTTTCTCCCAGGGACTGGCTGGTGGGTTTGAATTACCAACTTTGTGTTTAGCAACTCAATGCTCCTCCAGGGTTCCTAAAAACACAGGTATTATATAACCCAGGTACAAATCTATACATACATAGGTGCATCTACATATATCTGTGTGTGTATATATACCTGTTATTACCCATCATTAAAATCATCTGGCATGTCAAATGTAGTACAGTTCAAACTTAATTTGATATTGACTAGAGTAAGCAACCCAGACTTATGTCCAAGAGTAAAAGAGCAAACAAACAAACAACAACAAAAAATCCCCACTAACAGCAGGTCAATTCCAATTCATCATGAACCTATAGAGGGTTCCTAAGATGGTAAATCCTTGTGGAAGCAGACAGCCTCATTTTCTCCTTTGGAACACCTGGTGGGTTTGAAATGCCACCTGGTGGTTAGTAACCCAATGCCAAACCCATAGACAACACCACCAGGCTTCCTTGTCCCATAGTGTGGGTGTGTGTGTGGGGGGGGGAGGGGAAGGTACAAATAAAAATGCTGAAAATAAATTATTTGAGATGTAGTCCAAAAAGTAACTTGCAAAGAAAGATTTTGTAATGGTTCTCATGTATTATACATTTATTCATTTATATCACATTTTAAACCCTCTATAAATAGGTAATGGAGCTTCCTCATTACATACAAATTTATTATTTTGACTTTGATACATTAGGTTTTCATGAACATAAGTAAACATTTTGGAAGCTATAGCTGTTCAGTACAATCGGGCTGCTAGCATGGCTTCATGCATTCTATGTGTTATGGGCCTTGCTTGCTGAAAGTGAGGAGGACTTGAAACACTTCCTGATGAAGATCAAAGGCCACAGCCTTCGGCGTGGATTACAACTGAGCGTAAAGAACACAAAAATCCTCAAACTGGAACAAGAGGGAACATCATGATAAATGGAGAAAAGATCGAAGTTCTCAAGGCTTTCAACTTGCTTGGATCCACATCATGAAAGCAGCAAAGAGATCCAAGGACACAGGGCGCTGGGTAAATCTGATGCACAAGCCATCTTTACAGCACAGAGAAGCTAGGATAGCACTTTGAAGACAAAGGTGCGCTGGACCATGGTACTTTCAATTGCCTCAGAGACGTGTGAAAATAGGACACTGAATAAGGACGACCAAACGAAACGCAATGCATTCGAATTATGGTGTTGGCAAAGAATATTGAACCATGGTACTTTCAATTGCCTCAGAGACGTGTGAAAATAGGACACTGAATAAGGAAGACCAAACGAAACGCAATGCATTCGAATTATGGTGTTGGCAAAGAACATTGAAAGTACCATGGACTGCCAAAAGAACAAACTCATCTGGTCTTGGAAGGAGTAAAGCCAGACTGTTCCTTAAAAGCCAGGGTGGCCAGACTCTGGGTCAGGCACTTTGGATATGTTTTCAAGAGAGACCAGCCTCCAGAAGAAGATGGAGAAAGACCCTCAAAAAGGAGGAAGCCCCTCGGTGAGATTGATTGACATGGTGGCTGCAACGATGGCCTCAAACCTAACACTGTGAGGATGACATAGGACTGCACCATGCTTCATTCTGTTGGGTCACTTTGAGTCAGACCTGAGTCAATGACACCTAGCAATAGCAATATATGTCATGGGTTGAATGATATCCTCCCAAAACATGAGTAGAAATCTTAATCTCTAGAACTTGTGAATGTGATCTTGCTTGGAAATAGGATCTCTGAGGACATTGTGACTGAATATGTGGCCAGATGAGGTAGGAGGAGGAGGTTGGGTCCCAATCCAATGAGTGACAGCCTTATAAAAACAGAAGTCTGTGTGACCATGGAGTCCGAGATTGGGACAATGTATCCAAAACTAAAGCACAAAAGATTGCCAGCAACCATGAGAAACTAGGAAGGAGCTTCCCCCAAGGAACTTCAAAGAAAGCGTAGCCCTGTTCACAATTTGATTTGGGACTTCTAATACCCAGAACTTCAAAACAATGAACTTCTGTTGTAATAAAGCACCCATTTTCACCTCAGTGAGGTGGGGTCAGAGGGGGCACAATTCCCACACTGTGTCTCCAGTGCTGTCCCCTGCAGCGCTATGGGTCAG